CGTTTTGTCTCGTACAGCTGTGGGCTCAATGGTGCAAGCTTATTTGCAGAGCTTTATCTGTGCTTGCGAAAAAAAAACTGTGTAATCACTAATGGGGGCCTATACTTTCACGGGGTCCACATATAGACTCTAAGTCTAACGAATTTGAGTAGGCAATATCCTACAGTCTCAAAAACTGCTATTATGAAACTAGCGTTGTTTAACCTACCTGCCTAGTGCAGAGTAGGAAGTATACAGAGTCCTAGCCTGGCCTGCTGCAGCGCGCAGCATTGAGCCATGTGGGGCGTTTCGAAATGCAGGGCTTCAGGGTTTCAGGGTTGTACCCCAGGTTGTTCGGATGTTTTACAGAACCTAGTGAGACAAAGTTGGTTCCTGTAAGAGTTATATCGGAGCGCTACTGGGGAAACTTTTAGGATAGGATTACGCCCTGAGGGGTTGAACCCTTGAGCGTAGGGAAATTTTGGATGGGCGCAGGGTCGCTACTAGAATGTGGTCTGGACGGTTGTAATTCTTGAAGAGATTTCGAGAATTGCCACCCGATTTCCCTGAATTCCTTTGCACAATCATAGTCTAATGTGCCCCAAAGCCCAATTCTACTTGAATAGGTGCTGATAAAAAGACACCTTCGAGATGGGGCTTTACAAGTAACACAGCACCAGTCATGAAGCAGAAAGCGACGGTTGCTGTTGGGTCCTTTTTTCGCGGTATCTGCCCTTCAAAGGATTTTATTAAGGAATTATGACAACTCCCATGACCTTGTGTGGTAACTGTTGCTGTGGGGCGGCATGACTATGGTTGCTGCCTTTGTCCCGGTCATTGTGCAGATGCTGGAACCCAACAACAAGTTCTAGCATGCAGGACTAATGCGACGGCTGGCAGTTGAACTACTGCCGGCTTTGGGTTTAGTATCTGTCCTTCTGAAAAGCATGGGGAGTAAATCCTACATGTGTTGGGCACAGGCCATCTACGTACTGGCTACTCCCTTCCCCCATTGCATGAATGTTCATCATATGGTACCATCATATAAGAAGTCAAAATGTATTGCCAACGGGCCTGGGCTTTCATTGTCAGGGGAGGGGTTCCTTCTGATTGTGAGCCGCCCTTGAGGTGGTTGCTTCTGGACCTTGCAGTTTATGCAGGTGCCTAGGGTGCAAACAGGTTGGAGACATGAGTTCTGGGTCAATGTTGACAACAGCTTCTCAGTTTGAGTTGTCTAAAGCCGAAAAAGGAGTGTATATGAATATAGTTTTAATAGCATCCCAATAAGGAACCAGCGAGGTGATTGGCTCCTGCCAGGTCAAGAAAGGATGTTCTATAAACCCCTACAGAATCCCAGTGTACGTTTCATGGTTCATCGTCTTTTCCCGTTTGTTCTCCATTATCAACTTGAGTTAGGGAGTATGGTACTTGTGCATGCGAGGTAGGGCTTGGGATTTGAGGGTGGCGGAGATAGCTATGGACCATCTGAGATTTTTTAAGATTTGCCCATTATGAATCCCATAATCCTCTCTGAACCCCCACATATCCGGCCTCAAAGGGCAGGATGAAATGGCCCTCTACACAAACCCAGTCAACATTCGCAAGACAAAGATTCACCCTCCCTCAAACTGCCACGGAGCCCCAGAAAGGGAAATGCAAAGATTACTGTCTTTCGTTAGTTTGATTGAGAGTTTCTTTTCCCTACCTGAGCAGCATCGTGGAAAAAGTAGTCTTTTCAATGCCAATGGTGAAAGTTCGTCAAGCTCATGCCCTTGCTGCAGTAGCGACGGCAATCTCATAGCAGCCCATTGCTGCCGGTAGGCATAAGAAGAGGCCACTCAAGGCAGACAGCAGACGTGCAACCACAACTGCCACCATCACTCCTTACATTGTTGTTATAATGACTACTGCGGCGTTGCCTGTTTTCTTGCTACTCCTCCTGTAGCCACCGCTGGCACCACCACTTACTCGGAGCAGTTTGCTTCCGGTTAAATCCCACAACTAGACTTGCAATGGATGAAAAAACATGCACAATAGCCAGAGAGTTTCTTGGAAGTTTGTCTACGCCAATCCTATAGAATCCTTTAGGGGACCCAATAATCCCGTGCACACTCCATATATTTCTAGTGCCCAGGGTTCCCTTTTGTTGAGAATTCCCTGCTTAAGGTGCAGCGTTGGCATTTCTTCTTGTGGCTGGGCTGGCTGGTCTGCTCTATATCACTTTTTATCCCAAGCGGATCCATGAATTGCAAGGCCTCTGCTGCTTGTCGCGCACTTCTACACAATTCTTGCTGGTGGTTAGTGGAAATATAGGTACGGATCCCTATGCAATCCCCTACAACGATCCCTTGTTTCCTATTAAACACTAGTAAGTTCTTCAGACAAGGACATTACTCCAAGGGTCAGAAGTGGGGGTGAACAAATGGGACTCGGGGTCATATGTGGCTCCTTCCTACGTGTATTTTTTAAGGGCGTGAAAGTCTGCTTGTTCTCAACCACCAAAGCCCATGTACCCCTAAACCCGAGCTTGTAAAACCAATGTGAGAGTGTCCTGAATCTGGAGGCACACTTGCATGTACCCCATATAGCATCGTCCTTCGTCCGGGGACCCATACAAAGGGATTGCGAATTTTCATAAATCCCCGTGTACCCCTACGCAGCCCACATAAAGGCTTTCAGGGGACCCCTGATTTTGGCTAGGTGGGACGGTAGGAAGACACTCAAGTCATAATCAGATTACAACCTCTATAGCGCTGTATTTAGTATTCTGGAGAACTCTTTTGCTACAAGACAGGAATGGTAGCATACTATTTGACAGAACTTTAGTGAAGGCAACGATTACCGTAGCCAACGCTTACACGGTAATCAACCAAACCAATGTGAGCTGCAGTCTAAACTCCTAGTATGCCGCTTAATAACCCCTATAGTAGTCCGCTACATAATCATCCTCTATATAACCCCCTGTTATAAATTTAGATGATAGCTCATCTAGGTTTTGTCTGCAACCCATGCAGCCCAAGAACTCGAATGGCACTTGCATCAAGACACACCTCCTCCAAACCTTGTATTGGGATAATGGAAAGGAACATGGAAGCTATAGGAATTATAGGGGTTATAGAGGGATTGTAGGGTTTATGTATATATAAAAACCCTAAGCAGCTCTACAACACAGTAATGCGGCTAGCCGCCGACAAGAACAAGACTACGGCAGAATCTTGTCCTCCCCAACCCTGATGAAACCACGAATCTGATTCCCCAACCCCCCTGTCACGGTCGTGAGAATGATTCAGTCTTTCATGATGATTATACTCCTGGAAACTTACATGGAAACCCAAAAAGGGCCCTATAAAGACTACAGTCCTTCTAAAAGGGGGCTATATGGATATACATGTTAGTTTGAGGGAGTGTATACCAGACCGGTGGATGGTTGAACCATCATCACTGTCACCCCTAAATGGGAGTTTCCCAAAGTCCATATTAAGGATTATAGTATTTTGGGGTCTATATTGGGGTACCCTAGTTTTGGGAAAGTACCAAATCTTCAATCCTGAAGCGTCAACAATTACGATTCCTTGGCACAAAGAAAGGGGATGAATCCCAACAGTAGGTCCCATGCAACCCTGTAATAGTCTCTTTTTGCCATTCCCCTGTTCCCTACTGGGCACCAGGAAGACTGCTTTGCTTCAATTCGTCCAGGTGAGTAGTATTGTGAGGGGATACCATAGTCCACAAGACAGGTTAAAATTGTATCCCTTTTGATTACCCAATATTGACTAAGAGTATATCCTGTTTGGTTATAGCACTTAAGGAATGAATATAGTCTTGCTTGGTTCAACCACCCAAAACCAACCAGCTAAGGTTGCGTTGTTACTGGAGCTTCCCAGGGCCTTGGTGTGTACATTGCGCACGCACTGGCCGCTGAGAAGGCCTGAAACAAGCAAATCTGAACATGGCGGTTTCCCACCATTAGGTGTTAAGGTTTAGGGCTTAGGGTTCAAAAAGGGGCTGTAAGGGTTCTATAGGGGTATAGAAGGATGTATTTTAAGATGATGGAGTTTAGGGTTTCGCGAACTTAGGGGTACCTTTTTGGGGGTCCCCATAATATGGGCTGTAGTATTTTGGGGGTCTATGAGGTCCCTCTACTTCAGGAAATTACCGCATGTTGTAAGGTGCAGGAGAGAGCCTCTCATGGATTTGCATAGTACATGTTGGGAACCGTTCTGCCATTCTGGTTCGTAACTTGGTGTCTGAACAGCAACAAGGCTCGCAATTCACTTGACATGAGCCATAGCAGACCCCATGTCTTTGGAACTATTGCACTGAGGAGCGAAGGATTCTGCAAAAAATGTATTTACAGAACCTTTGGGAGAAACCCCTGAGTGCCAGAAAAGTCCCTACACATCCATAGGTGGAGGGTCAAGAGGACTTAGCAAGTATACTTGCATACCCTGTAAGCCATAGCAGTGGCAATGAATATGCCCAGTTATCCCCAGGATTAACCTACCAACTGAGTCCCCCCCAACCCTCCAAGGAGGCTCCCCAAGCTAGAATTCCCAGAGCCTATGTGAGTAATATCTTTGCTGCAAGCCCCGATATAGAATAAAGTCATTATCTCCTTTTCGTTATAGCGGTTCTATAAGAAGTACTCATCCTTATTTGGTTCAACCACGAGACCCTAACCAAAAAAAATACTCAGGTGCTAGTTTCCCAAGACAAGGGACCCAATGTAAGCCCCAAAATATTGCAGTCCTTATTAAGGGGAGCCCCCAAATTGTTACCCCTAAAGTCCCCCTTAGGTAGATGGAATATGGGGTATATGGGGATCTTATTATAATGTACCCAAATCCATATTTTATCTACTTAAGGGGGACCCTAAACTCTAAACCCTAAATAGCAGTTTCCATTTTCTTTTCCATTCTCCCAAAACCCTAAACCCTAAACCCTAAAGACTAAACCCTAAACCCTAAACCGCCTATATTCTATCTACTTAAGGGAGCTTATAATCCTGAAAGAAACCCCAGGTGAGCAAGCTGGTGCTTGGAGCTCGAAGCACTGAGAAGCTGACACTTTGTCTGGAAAGAGGGCTTATTGTGGGGGCACCCCTCAAAGGGGATACCTATAGTCCCCCTCAAGTAGATAGAATATGGCTTTGGGTATATTATAATAAGATCCCAATATACCCCATATTCTATCTACTTACGGAGGATTATATTTGTTGGGACTTCTCAGCCCTTGACCTTATGTAATCTTATAAGCCCCCCTACAAGTCCTTTAAGAGGGATGTCTGTTCTTTTTCGAGTCCTTGTTTGGGTCCTACCATACACCCAGGGATGGCTTGAAGTCGGACCTTGCCAAGCGATACCCCGACGTGGAGGCTAGGCTTGTGGCAAGTCTATCTTATGAGGGTTTTAGGGTTTCTCGGTCGAGGACGGCCTCCCTACCAAAAGGATAGTTAGGGTTCATTAAGGCTAGGTAAGAGGTAAATTATGGTGGGTAGTACAGGGGGGGGAAGAGTAGGGGAACCCATGACTTTCCGGGCCTTGGTAGCCAGAGGACTTTGGTAACCTTGAAAGGAGTATAGATATCAGTATAGGGGCTCATATCAGGATTATGCGGGCTTACAAAGGGATTTGAAAAACAAGCAAGAGGATAACTACCAGTAGGCGGAGAATCAAACTGAAAAAAGAAGACGCCAAATGACATGGAAACTGGGTTTGTATAAGGGGTTATACAGGGGCTTACAGGGAATAATTGCCAACTGGTCTTAAATGTAAATAGAAATTTTATAGCCCCAACTCCTAAATTCGGAGCCGTTTATAAACCACATGATAATTATGGAGTCCTCATGTTGGGGTTACCAAGATCATGGTCTTATTTGGGTTGAAGGTTTAGGGCTTTGCACATTTTTGATGTTGGAGGACGACGCTAACAGAGAGTTATCATGCGGCTCGTCATCGGGACTAGGGTCAGGAGCCTAGGTGTTTCCTGTTTGTTTCGTGACTTCGCGGTGGCGGGAAAGATCCTTCTTGTAGTCCGCATATAACCCCCTATTGTTCAGATTGAACCATTGAGCAACAGGATCCCTGATACCTACAGAGATGTACACATTGCTTATACTTGACGGAGATGACCAGGTGCTCACGTTGAAGTTGGATGTGAGCGATACTGAAAGCCGCAAAGAGTTTTTCCGCAGAGCTGTTGCTTTCGGCCGGTGCCAAGTCCTGATCAACAATGCCGGCATCATCAAGAACCGTTTCTTCCAGAGCATGACAGATGAAGACTTGGATGCTGTGCTCCATACCAACCTCGTGGCCGGTTTGAAGTTTTGCAGTTTTTGTGTTTGTGTGTTGTCGATTATGCATGCTTGCCGTCTGGACCGGAACCCCAAGCGGAAAGCTTAACCCAAAAGCCCTCTGGTAGTGATGGTGGTTGTAGTAGCAGCAGCAGCAGCAGTAGCAGTAGTAGTAGTAGTAGTAGGATGATAATATATTATAATCGTTAGTGAATGTACAAAATGAGCAGCCATGGTTCAACAAAGGCACACAATCAGAGATTTCTCATGCTTACATGATGTCAAGGGCGGCCCAAGCCTAGAGCAGGGAAAGCCGCTACGAATAGGAGCATGGAAATAGGGAACGCCCATACACTTCCTGGTGGTTAGTAGGGAGTATGTGTATATTTTATATAGGGATTCTCTAGGGAGTATATTCCTTAATTCCCAATTAGACACCAGTAAGTAAGCCTCAAACCTGTGAAGCCCTAAACCAGCCTCCCAGGTTGGCACGCTGCACCTGACGAAGCTCTTCCTTCCCGAGATGCTGAAGTGGGAGTTTTTCAAAAGCATTTCCTTACAATCCTTAGGGGGGACCTGCCCTATCCTTGAACACGTTGTAGAAGCACCCAAGTTCATTAAACCGAAACGTTGCACAGCTGAAGCAAAACAATCACTTCTTAGAGTTCCCACCACGCACCTAAAAATTGAGCTTCTGAACTCTAACGCCAGCCAGGCATGATCGAGGACACGTCGTGAGTCTTACCTATCCATGGGATACCCATTGGGGTAATATTAGGGTTATATTGGGATTATAGGGATAATGGAAAAGGAAATGGAACCTACTATTTCGGGTTTATGGCATTTTGTTGGGTCAGTAGGAACCTTGTCTCAAATTTAAAATTGAACCTAAACGAAGCTCAAAGTAAAGAACATCTAAGGAACATTTCTTCCATTAGTGGCTTCACGGCTGCTCCCTATGGCAGCGTTTACGCCGCAACCAAGGCAGCCCCAACAGTGGTGTAATACGAGCGAGCATATAGGGTGCCTGGTACGGATGCCATTCTTGTGGCCACTATGAACGTGCGGGGAAATCAACTAACATAGGCCCCTGAACCTCGAACCTCATAACCTGAAGCTTTAGCCCCTCAAGGCTGCATTGAGCTCATTCAGTGCATCACTTCGCTTAGAGATGCAGGTGGGTGGGGTCAAAACATCTGGGGGTCCGCAGAATAGGTGGCCCTTCAGCCGCTCTCTTAACGAGGTCATAGGGATATACCGGGTTTAGAGGATAGGTTTGGATTCGGAACGTCTGTTGTGTGTAACACCCGGGGGGGTTGAGCCTAGAGTTTAGAGACTTGTCGGAGTGTTTTGCAGAACGGAATAGGGCTTGGGGGTTACAACAGGACAATATTCCTATATGTGAGGCGCCAGGACAAGTGGATTTGGCTCTTGTTTTTGGCAAGTTCGGAAAAGTTTTGTCAGTGCTACAGAGAGAGTTATTCAATTTTGCATTGTTTCCGGTTCGGATCCTTCAGAAGACAACCGCACAGATAGGGCAGCGAAGATAACAGGAATTACATGATCAGAGCGCCCCCGCTTTTGACTTAGCGCGTTGCACGTTTTTAAAGTGACCTTACTAACCCATTCTCATAATGTCCACAGACCTGATCCCTAAAGGGTGCCCTCCTTCAGCCCCACATGATTATCAGCTCAGATCGAAAAGCAGCCCGTGACCTTCCATTGTGTAAGCCCTGGACTTATTTCGGATGTTGGCATCGCCGTGAGCATGGCGGGCAATGCTGGCATGACCGTCAAAGAAGCAGGGAAACTCCTTGGCTGGAGTACGCCGCTTTGGCTGGGTCCACATTAAGGGGTCCTTTTTTATACTTTTGGTGGTAAGGGTTTCTCGAAATTGATGCAAATAAGATGTTTGTTTCTTCCGGGGACAGAGAGATTGAGTTGTGACAGTTCAGATTCGGGCATGCGTGTATGTTTGTGCTAGTGACAACTGACCGCCTTGAATACGAATACCTTTACGAGTCACACAGTTTTTGTATGTACAGAAACAAGGGCATGTGGGGTTCCCCTTTTCATAGCCTGAGGTATTGCAGCCATTCTTCCAGAAACTCCCTAAGAAAGGGGCCTTGAACCTTTGGAAACCAAACCCTGTATCCCAAAACTTGGGTACTGCCCCCCCTCACTAACATTTGGATAATAATTAGAATATGGTTATATATAGCCCTTAAGAGGACCCCTAATATAGACTGTTACTGGGTGGGGGCGGTACCGAACCCAAAACCCTTTTATGGAAAGGCAATAGTGAAGTTTTTCAGTACAATCGCAGTAGGGTTCTGCAGGAAGGAGGCCCCTACAATCGCTTAATTCCTGCTTTCTCTAGGACCCCCCACCCAGTCACAGTTAGTGACTTTAAGGGATAATATGGAACATATTAGGGTCCTCATTTATTCCTATTATACCATTATTACAGGGTGTGGGTCCTCCTAAGCTATATATCTCTAGGCTCCCCAAGGGTACGCGTTTTGAGGAAGGCTAAGCTTAAGCTCACCTTTGAACCTTAGGCCCAATGTTATGATTAGGGGCATTGGGCGTACTGGGTTGCTGTTAAGACACTTAATTCAAGTTACTATATTGGGCAAACTCCATTTACCATATATACCATTATGGTATCTTAACTTCATGTGTTTAACAACAACCCAGATAAGGGGCATCAGGTTCATTTTGGTTTGAGAACGCCTTTAGTCGAAACTCTAATCTCTAGACCCTTCCTTGTGTATCTTCAACCCGGGGTCCCTAGGGGCCCCGTTTTCGTTTTGAGCGACTTTTTGAAGGGAATGCTAAATTCCCCTGCTGGGAAATTGTTATAGGGGGCTAAATAGTTACAGGTATTATTATCCTAGAGTCCTTGTACAAGTATGGTCCAGGGTACTTCGAATACGACAAACTTCAAAAGAATATTGGTTAGTTATTAGTTATTCCCACTTACAGTAACAGTTACCATAATAGATAAAAGAAATTGTAATGGCCCCATAGGAAGCATTCTTTAAGGACGTTTATTGTACGGGGGAATGACGCAGGATATTGGTAATTACTTCAAAGGGATATTTCTTGTTGGTAGTTGGGGGGATGTGATTCCTTATCCTATATAATGCCTTCCCTCATGCCCTACTAACCCCTAGTAAGTAATTGTTAAGGCCCTGAACCCTAAATCCTAAGCCCTGAGCCCTAAACCCTACCTAAACCCTACCTAAACCCTAACCCTGAATCCTGATCTTTTTCATGGGAGCCAAGGCCAGCCAAAGTTGCCGAAACAGTCATACGAGTCATTCAGCTTCTCGGATTGTCCTTGACTTTCTTGTAGGGTGTAGTAACCCCGAAAGGAAGATAGTTTTGGAATACAAAAAGAGTAATCTCCGCCGCCAAATATTATACCCCCCCCACCCCCCCCCCCTAATATTAAATATTCCCAATATATTATAACATATCATATAATGGGAGTATTTGATATTAGGGGCGGTGGTGGGGGGTCTTAATATTAGGCCCCTGTGGCCACGCTATCGCGCGCCCGCCTCGGCTGGCGGGGCGCGGAGCACACGAATAGGTCATGGCATGTAGTGGGTCGAGGGAGTAACGGAGGCAAGCCTCACTTCAGACTGTTTGT